GTGTGCACATGCTTTGACTTGGTATTTCAGGATCTTAAGCCTTATTGGAACGTTTCTTCATTGAAATTGAGTCTTATGTTGACCATTTTTGCATATGTACGAAATAAACAAGAAATATATCCATTAAAGTTGTTAGGAAATAATAATGGTGGTGTTTAGGATCCTGATGTATGTTTGGGATCCTAGGACTCCTTTAATATCTGGGATTCTGGATAGGTTTAAGGATGCTTGGATATTTTAGAGTTCCCGAGATCCTGGATGGAATTGAGGATATTGGCCTTATTAATTGCCCCTAAATTATACTTGCAAAATTTTTAAGTTAATTCCGGATATTTAAAGATATAATTTTAACAGAGATAATGTTTTTGAAATTCAAACCCTAACAGATAGAAGTTTATCCGTTTGATGCTCATGATGACACGGTCAAATCAACTCTTTCCCCTCTTTCTTCTCACTTTTTTTGTTTGATGATCATGAGTAAAAATGCACTCCGTTCTTGCTCGAGCATCCTTACTCTTTCCGACGAGGACTTCGTCAATCAACAGATCCTGTCTTACGAAGAGAGTTGATATTTTGATGATAACGGTATTGAGTCCTTGGAATCGATCGAAGCTTTTACTACTGACATCATTTTCAAGCCTTTCAATCCTAAGGCCAAACATGGTTTCTCCATTCCTACTTTGGCTTGTTTTCCTGAATATCCTTTCTCCTTGGGCTCGACATATCCTTTTTCTGGCATCATATTTGAGTTCTTTGAAGTTACAAAAATTTCTTATTTTGACACTATGGCTTTGATATGAAGGATCCTTTTTTTGGATGGATTGGATGAGCCAATATAAAAATATTGACATTTAGTTAGCTGAAATGGCAAATGTTTATGATATTCAAAACTTTTAGATCTTCAAAACCAATAAATAACATTTATCTTTGAAATTAAAAAAAAAAAAAGATGGTGCCTGGAATGAAAGGTTTTCTTTGTAAAACACAACTCTCCTGCCAACAAACTGGGTTAGAAAGGGTATGATTTTATTTAACTATGATAAGGATCCTGGAATGTATGCTTCCTTATTATTATTTTTTTGACACAGTTTTGAAGTTCAAGGAAGTTGTTCAAGCTGCTAAAGATACTAAGGAGAAGGTTGGAAGCTTTCTCATTTTTCCTGAGGCAGAAAGATCTTTGAAGTTTGACCATTCCAGTATCTAAGAATTTTCTTCCACCACTTTTCTAATGCCTACTGGTAAGGATCCTTGTTTTTAGTTGTTTCATTTTGGGGATCTTAAATTGATGATGATTCTTTGCAATTTTCAGGATCCAAGGCTATACATTCCAGCACACACTTTACCTTCTCGGAACATGATGAGGCCTTGTCTAGCGGTCAGCTCAGGGTTTAGAAGGAGAAGACATCTTACTAGAGCACGCCTTGAAGATCAAGGAGGTGATTGTTGAGGTTCAGAGCAGTGTCGCATATCTCATCTGGGAGACAAAGATTATGTTGGCGGAGTATGTGGCGAACGCAGGATCTTGGAATGTGGCCAGTTGGCATGAAACCCTGGCTAAGTTGATTGGCATGCCTGTTAATGTGTGTTCGGATCCTACAGAGAAGAAGAAAAAGAGTGAGGAGAAAGATACGGAGGATACCCCAACTCGGGGTGATCAAACCATGAATTAGGTATGATAAAATTCAAAAACAATTTTAATTTTTTCGTTTGTAAAACAATATTTGTTTTTGATGGATTGGAGGGTAACCCCTTTTAATTTGGATGTTTTCGTTTATCTATTTTCTTGTGTGGTTGCTTTGGTTGTAGTAATAGGATAATGAATTTTTCAAAAGCTTTTCGGATAATTACGATCCTAAGAAGTTTAGAGTTTATAAAAACTATTAGGATCTTAATAATCTGAAATAAATAAACATCTTATTGGGATCCTGTAATATTCGGGATACTCAAATTTTATTTAAAAAAATCTTGAAAGTTATTGTAGAACTTTTTCAATGAAAAAGAACTGTGAATAACAATCTTAGGTGTAAGGAGAGATAGAACCTGATGTCAGCTCAAACTCTAATTGATCTTTTTGTCATCTCTTTGAACAATTATTTGGATAGGTTTTATCATCTTGAAGAGAGTTCTTCTAAATATGTTTTCGGGAGATTATCCCAACTTTAGAATTTACTGGGAAAAGTCACAACTCAGGTAATACTCGGAAACATCCCAGATAGTAATTCACTTGGGAAAGATCCCAAATTAAGAAGTACTGGGAAGATCCCAATTAACGAAATACTAGGAAGATCCCAACTTTAGATATTTTGGTGAAGATCCTAACATAAGATATTTTGGGGAAGATCCCAACTTAAGATACTCTGGGGAAGATCCCAATTTAAGATATTCTAAGAGAAATCCTAATTTAAGATAATAACAGGGGAATATCACACTTTAGATAATAGCTAGGGAAAATCCCATTTCAGATAATAACTAGGAAAAATCCCACTTTAGATAATAACAGGGAAAAATCTCATTTTAGATAATAACTGGAGCTTGAACAACTTGATGTGAAAACTGCATTTCATCATAGGAACTTAGAAGAGAAGATTTATATATCCCAACCAGAAGGTTTCCTTGATTCTAAGAAGGATAATGTATGTTTGTTGAAGAAATCTATATATGGTTTGAAGCAGTCTCTAAGACAATCGTACAAAAGATTTGATTCATTCTTAATCTCGCATGGCTACACTCAGAACCAGTTTGACAATTATGTCTACCCAAAGGAATTGTCACCAAATTCTTACATATATTTGTTACTATATGTTGATGATATGCTCATCCCAGCCAAGGCCATGGCTGGAATAAATGACTTGAAGGCAACCTTGAAGAATGAGCTTGAGATGAAGGATTTGGAAGATGCAAAGAAGATACTCGGGATGGAGATTCAAAGGGATAGAAGACTAGGGCGGTTGTGTATTTCTCAACAAAAGTGAATTAAGAATGTTATGCCGTCTTTCAACTGTGATCAGTCCAAACCAGTTGGAACTCCTGTGGTGGCTCATTTTCAGCTTGGTCAAAACACTATACCCACTACTAATGAAGAAAGAAAGTAGATAAACAGGGTTCCATATTTAAGTGTTTTTGGAAGTCTTAGGTATGTTATGGTTTGAAACAGACCTTATTTGGCTCATTCAGTTAGTGTGGTAAGTAGGTTTTTGACCAATCTAGGGAAGGCTCATTGGGAAGCTGTTAAGTGGCTCTTGGTGTATGGATTTAATACGAACTGTCACTTGGTTGGGTATGTTGAATCTGATTTTGGTGGTGATTTGTTGAAGCGCAGGTCACAGACGTTCTACATATTGACTTTCTTCGGATGTTCCATCTGTTGGAAGTCAACGTTAAAATATAACATTGTTTTGTCTACAACTGAATCTGAATACATGTCCATGAAGGAAGGAATAAAGGAGGAGATATGGTTATTCGGTCTTATTTAGAGTCCTAGTCAGAAGATGTGGCTGTCAAAGTGCTTTGAGTCTTGTTAATAACCCAATGTATCATGAGAAGGCAAAGCACATTGATGTTAGGCTGGATTTCATTCGAGATATTCTGGAAGAAGAGAAGTTCTCAATACTGAATATTGATATCAAGGTCAACCCACCATATATGTTAACAAACTTACTTCCCACGGAGAAGTTGAAGCTTGGCTTGGACTTGTTTGATGTTCACAGGAGGTAAGCCCCTTCGGGGCTTGATGGCTGGATGGGAGGGGAAGTTCTGGTTCGAGGTGGATTTCAGAGGATGCTCAAATCAAGGTGGACATTGTTAAACAGGACTTCATCATTTGGAGCATTCTCATGAAGTAGTTGGGTTCAATGGAGCATTTAGAACTAAATGGAGCACTTAGGGTTTATGGAGCATGTGACAAAGGAGTGGATCTTCTAAGAAAGGAATGGATCATCAGACAAAGGAAAAATCAAGTGACAAATAAATGGATCTTACAAAAAGGTGATTTGGATAAACTTAGAGCGGCTTGGAGCAACTTGGAGCAACTTGGAGCAACATGGAGTAACATGGTCTAACATGTTGAGCCAAGCTGATGTTGAGCCAAGGAGATGTTAATCCAAGGAGATGTTGAGCCAAGGCGATGTTAAGCCAAGGTGATGTCGAGCCAATGAGAAGTTGAGCCAAGGAGAAGTTTATCCAATGACATATTGCGCCACATATATTGGATGTTGTGCCATGAGGGAGTGAATTTGCACCAAGAGGAGGATGTTGTTGTTGGATTAGGTGTCTAAGCCCAATATCGATTTCGGAAAATAGAGGTTTTCGGTTGTCGCAACAGTGCACTGTGGTGGTGGTGGTGGCTGGTGGTGAACGTCAGCAGAAGATACAAGGTAGCAAAATCGACAAGTAATTGAAGATAGAAATCGTTTCTCAGGAAGCAAAATCAAAAAGTAAGCCTTAATTTATTCTTTTCTTAGTTCTAATTTCTAAGTTCTTAGTTTCAAGTTTCAACATGCTAATTTTTGTTTTTTTTTTCAGTTTTTTTCGCATATGTAAGGCTGATATTACAATCTGTATGAGTTTTTTCACATCTTTATCCTATTGTTCACCGATTAATTGATTATTATTCATTGATTTCAAGTTTCAAGTTTCAGAATCTGTTAATTGTTCATATTGAATTTGTTTTTTTTTATTTTGGTTCACTGATTTCAAGTTTCAAATTTCAAGTAAGCCTTCACGTTTTTTTTTCAGAATCTGATAATTGTTGACTGATTAAATGATTATTGTTCACTGATTACACATATGTATAACGACATGATTCATTGATTTTTTTAGAAGCTGTTAATATATGTTCACTGTTACAATTTTACAATGCAGATAATTGAGCTTGTATTTTTTTTATTTAATTTATGTTCACTGTTTCAACATGAGCATGATTCATTGATTTTTTTATCAGAATCTGTTAATTATTCAGAATCTGTTTTTTTAGTTGATCTTGAATATGTGATTTGTGTTCAATGCAGATGAAAGGATCTCAAAAAACGGTTGATGAGGCTACAAGTAGAAGTAAGCAATCTAAATCTAATTCGGATCCACCAACTGTTAATGTTGAGGAAGATGAAGAAGTTAGCGAAAATAATGATGGTGGTAAAAAAGGTTCTTGGGTGTGGAAGCATTTTGATAAAAATAAGATAGATAAGACTTTGAACAAAGTGAAATGCCCATATTGTCCAAAGTTGATGTGTGCACATACCAAGAAGAACGGTACGATCTCAATGGGAAGGCAGTTAAGACTCTATTGTGTATATTCTCCGGTTTATGATCCTAAAGGCAAATCCGGTGATTCGAAAAAAAAAACGAATATTTGTTGAGTTTTAAAAAATCAAGAAAATCGGGGGCTAGTTCTTTGGAAGTTCATTCCTTTAGCCAAGACAAGTGTAGGAAATCATTAGCCCGTATGTGTGTAAAAGACAACCAACCATTTAGTGTAGTTGATGATGAGGGATTTAGGAAGTTTGTATCGGACTCACAACCTCTATTTAAATTTCCATCAAGGTGGACCGTCGCATGGGACTGTTTGAAGTTATACAAAGAAGAGGAGTCTCACTTAAGGATGTTTTAAGACATCAAGTTGTCTTAATTACCACTGATACTTGGACATCCATACAAAACACTAATTATAGTTGTCTAACGACCCATTGTGTTGATGATGAGTTGGGTTTGAGGAAGAAGATTCTAAATTTTTGTAAAATTGCAAATCATAAAGGTGTGACTATAGGAAAACCAGTTTATTCATGCTTACAGAATTGGGGCATTGAGAAAGTGTTTACAGTGACTGTGGATAATGCTTCTTCTAATGATGGGGCAATTAGGTATCCAGCAACCATGCTTAGGGGACCTCATTCTTGTTTGGATTGCAGGTATTTTGCATTTGAGGTGTTGTGCTCACATTATAAATCTTGTGGTTAAAGACAGGTTAGAAGAGCATTTTGATTCCATCGAAAAGATCTGAAATGCTATAAAGTATGAGAGGTCATCGGGTGCTAGGGCTGCTACTTTCAAAGAATGTGTTGAGAAAGTGAAGATAAAATGTATTAAGACACCATGCCTTGATTTAGAAGCAAGATGGAATTCAACATTTTTGATGTTGTAGACGACGAAAAAGTGTGAGGCTGCGTTTCATATGTATTTTATTAAGTATGCTATATTTAATTTTTTATAATTTACATACTTACATTTTAATTTGTTTTTATTTTTACTACAGGCTAATTGCGATTGATACTGGTTTCAAAACTTATTGTGGGGATGAGGATGATGGTGAGGGGAGTACAAGAAAACGAAGAAGACATGAGAAAGTTGTGGGGGCTCCCGATACCGGCGATTAGGAGGTTGCTAGGTATTTTTATTTTATATATCTTACTTAGAATGTGAAATCTAATATGTTTGGAATCTAATATTGTGTTATTATTTTGTTAGGTTTTTATCGACTATTTGAGGATATTTTTCAATGTCACAAAAAAAGATTTATGGGTCTAAGTATGTGACAGTTAAATATTTTTTAGTGAACTTGTGACAATGCAAGCAACCATTACCAAAATGTGTGCAAGTACAGATGAGAAAAAGAAACAAATAGGAATATCGATGAAAGAAAAGTATGATAAATATTGGGACAACATTGATAATATGAACTTCTTGCTTCATGTTGTAGTGGTTTTAGATCCCTGCAATAAGATGTGTTATCTAGAATATTGCTTAGAGTTGATTTATGGCAAGAATTCTCTCAAAACAAAAAATATTTTGGAGCGTGTCAATAACGCATTGATTTATTTGTTTGAACACTTCAAGAACAAAGCACAGAGAGAAAGATGTGAAAAGACAAAGGATGTATCATCTTCAAGATAGACAACTGGTTATTTTGATGGTGGGGATGGAGCTGATTTGAAATGTGATTTTGCAAGGCTTTTGGAACAACGTGGGAAAGGGGTCAATAAAACAGAGGTTGGAGTTTATTTGGCAGATGGAATGAAAAAGATGATGGTCGATTTCCAGATTTTAAATTGGTGGAAACTTAATTCCATAAAGTTTTATGTAATTTCTCAAGTTGCGAGACATGTTTTAGAAATGTCGATCTCTAGCATAGCATCAGAGTCAGCATTTAGTGTTGGCAGGAGGGTGATTGATGCAACTAGAAGCTCCATTACAGAGTAGACCGCAAAAGCTCTGATTTGATTTGCACACAGGGTTGGATACGTTCTAGTCCGATTGATATTCAATTTAAAAACATGACGACTGCATATGTTGTAGAATTGAAAGAGAAGTTGGAGAAAATAGAACTTGGTAAGTATTTTTACATAATTATAAGTTTCTAACTCAATACTAACCTTTTTTTTTGTAGATGAATTGGGAAATGATGAAGTGATTCACATGGATGAAGATTGATGATTGAATATTGAACTTGCTTGTAATGACAATTTCAATTTGGTTGTTTTAAACTTGGTTGTTTGGTACTTGTTTTTGTTTCTAAAAACTTGTTAAAGTTTGTTGTTTGTTAAACTTGGTTGTTGTAAACTTTTAGCAACATACTTTCGATGTTGTTTTTGGTGTTATAATTGTTTTTTTTAGATTTTTTAATCTAGGTTGTTAATTTTGTTTCATTTTTTTAAATCATAAAGATTTGCTAAAAAAATGGGTTACAACCTAAAGCCCAAAACCCATGGGTTGAACACAAAACCGATGAAACCGACCCACAAACCCAGAAACCAAAACCGAGTTATAACCGAACCCAATGTGTTCTTAAACCCATAAACCGAAATTTATGGGTTATGTTTGGTTTTACTCTAAAACCGACCCAAAACGTCCATGCTCAGCCCTAGTTTTTAAATGGTATTTATAAAAATAACAATTTTTTATCAATAGGAAAAGTGATCATTAATTTTTGACTAGAAATTTCCAAATACTTTAAAATATCTTTTTAGGACAGAACATCAAAATGTTTTTCAAAATTATGAGAAGTATTCAAAGTAACAAATAAATCTCTATTTAAATATAATTTAAAAATAGATAAAAAAAACAATGATATTTTTATCTATTTTCTCAATATTGTATGATTGATAAACAAAAGCTTTATTATCATCTTAAAAAATAAATAATAAATGATTTAGGAATTTATCTGAACTGTCCAAAAACCAAAAAGAACTTATCCGTGCATAATAGTTTTTTTTCTATACACAACAATTTACGTATTAAACTATCGTATTGTACCAAGGAAAAAAATACATTATATACAAATCATTTCTCAAAACCAAACGATCAACGATCAAGTCACATATAGCATTTAATATTCGTAAAGTTTAATTAAATATGTTTTGAAATTATTAAAAAGTTACAACGAAGACTCGCAAAAAAGTCGAGACTTGCAAAAAAAGTCGTTCGGTGGGGACGATAAATCTAATTAATGAGAATGTCCAACATGACACTTTTATTAGCATTTGCCACTTTTTGATTGCACTTCACATGCCAAAATGGCCTTGGGAACAACATACACTACTAATTACATTCAAACGGGTCAACCTCTTTTCCTTGATTTTAGTATTCCAAAATTTCATAATGCTTGCCACTGCTCTATTTATGCTCTAAACTCAACCCAATTACTCCAATTATTTATAATGGAAATGTAGTGTGTTTAATTTTATGTTTAAGTATAATTAAGTGGTTGTTAAAATGTATATGATAATTGAAAGAAAATATATTTTGAAAACATATAAAATGGAATCATATGAAAACAAGTTTTAAATCTATTACAAAAGGTAATAATTACATAAACTTAACATCTTTAAAAAATAATATAACATCCAAATGAACCCTGATTTTTTCATTATACGATATACAATTTCTAAATATCACCATTGATATACATTAGCCCAGGTTTTTGTGCAACCCTCTATCCTTACAAATTTGTCAATGAGCAATCACTTAAGAACACTCCAAAACCATTTATCACTAGACTGTTGTGGTACGTTTGCGCCCTTCACAAAGTAGATTTTCAAATTCTCACAAGAGATTACATTAGTGGGTTTGGTACCCTAATAGTTGATACACACTAAGAGTTTGTGGATACGGGCTAATATATCTATAACCAAGATGTAAGTTCAGAAAAATAGCCACTGTCCTAGTAACTATTGTATATACTCAATGTGAATGTCCGTAAATCCAAAACTCCAGAAACCGATGGGTGTGGGGTATATTGATGAGGATGTAAACTTGCACAAAAGGTGGAATTAAGTAATCATCATATAACATTTTCTTATAAATGACTATTACTCAGGTAATGTAACTGAAACAACCGAGAAAGTTGGGCACATGGATCCACAAGCCATGGCATGTCAGTCCTCTACATATGTGTTGAAGTTTTATGGTACAAATGTTTGTCAAGCATCATCAGGCCTTCGCTCTATCAACAAGGGAAATTAGGTCATGATGTGTTGTCAAAATACACAAATTTATAGAATTAAGTTAGTAACATAATTGAATGTTTATTATATCACATTCCAACCAGCGTAAGTCATTGTACGTATGAAAATTTATCACATTCCAACTAGGGTAAATCGATGGATTGGGGAATCTTTACTTTATAATCGCTTAAGTGCCTCAGTTGTGTTCTTTGTCTCTTCTATCTCCCTTCTTCGTTTTCTTATTGAACAACAGGTAGTTCCATACGATTTCCATGTGAACATCTTCAGTATGTGTATTATTCTATTCTTCATTACTTTGTATATTTTGCTCCTCTTCAAGCAAACCTTTTGGTTGTTCTTCAAATATGTCTTCCATGCTATATGTTTGTATCTCTTCACTATTTTGCACTGAAACTCCCCCTGTCTCCATATTTGTCTCCATATTCCTGGTGGGTTCTTCATGTGGTTCACCATATTGTGAGATGGGACTCAAGTAGTAAAAAATGTATTGTTCAGAATCTTTTGATTCCACTTTCGAGAAAGGAAACATGTCTTTGATGAATTTAACATCTCTCGTCATCACCAACTTTTTCTATTCTAAATCGTAAATTTTATACCCCTTTTCTATTCTAAATCGTAAAGACACTCCTCGTTTTCCTCTTGGTTCAATTTTATCTCCATTTATTTTAGTTTTTCTATAGTAGGCTAGGTATCCGAAAACTCGCATGTGGTCGTATTCAGGATGTCGACCAAAAAGGACTTCATATGCAGTTTTGTCATTTATAACTTTATAGGGTAACCAGTTTACAATATATGTAGCCATGAGAATACACTCACCGCAAAACGTTGTAGGAAGGTTTGCTTCAAAACATAAAGCATGGGCGATTTCTAAGATGTTTCTATGCTTTCGCTCAACTACC